AGGATTCTTAAATTTTAAATAGATTTGAGGCTTGTCATTTGATACATGTGAAGTAAAGAGCAACCAAAGATCAGGCAGTGTTTTTCTATCCCAACGGAAGGCTCATTCTTACAGAGAGTGAGGTTATGCATTACTCCGAGGTGGGAGGAGAGAGAATGAGACCACCGGAACCTGCCCTTCAGTACTTCAGATTCCCTGTCACAAAAAAATGTCAACATGAAACATTTGGGATAGAGAAAGGCTGGTGCATGGGGAAGAGTCTGAGCACAGTCCTGCACTTACATGAGCACCAGAAAAAAACGTTATGCATTATTTTTCCCATAAAATGATTACCTGATATTCACAGACACCATCTCTAGATAGGTGCTAATATGTTCTCATAAAATCAATGAATCACAGAATAGTTAGTGTTAGAAGGAGATTGTCCCGTCCAACCCCCTTCCAAGTCAGGGTCACCTAGAACATTGACACAGGAATGTGTCCCTTGGGTTTTGAATGCCACCAGAGATGGAGTCTCCATGACCTCCCCAGCAGCCTGTAAAAAATATGTTTTGCAAGTTACCTGTTTTGTCAGTAACTTTGGTTCTCAGTCTGTAATGTTACATAACATATTAGTGGTCCTGTGGACTTAAATTTTGAATTGGTTTTAATGTTTTTAAGAGAAAAGAGGATAAGTCTGCTGGGGATCCAACATAGACTTTAAACAAAAAATTTACTGTCAGAATCAGATGTAGGGCAGAACTCAGGGGCCGTATCCCACAGCAGTCCAATGTAGCCATTAAGACTCTGCAACATCAACATGTTTAAGAAAGGCTTAAGGTTTTATTAAACAAAAAACCCCCACCTTCTCTGTTGAATTCAGTGTTATGCTTCTTTATCTTCATTTTACCATGTACTGTACAGTTGCCTACTGAGACAATAATGCACTTTTTTTGTAGCTTGTCGGGATATATACCCTGAAACAATTGAGGAACTAAAGGACACAGGGTTTAGCTGAATTCTTTCACTCCCAAACTTATTAATAATATGTAATTCCTGCCAGAGTTAGTTTTCAAAGCTAATATCCTGCCAAAATAAGTGTCATCTTACAACTCTCATAGCTATCTCTTTTGTTTTGCAGATAGTCTTCACATATGTTGCCTGGAAGAAGGTAAGAAGAAATCTCAAATTTGCTTATAACACAGCAAATTTGACAGCCAAAAATCAAGTGCATCAAGCTTTGTCAGACAGCCTTTAGTTTTTAATCAGAAATCGTTTGGGGTTTTTTTTTCCCAATTACAATCAGGGTCATTCCCTAAGCTCCAAACACATGGAAATATCTACTTGTAGGACCTCCTAACAGAGAGAATCGAAACAATGTTCATGGCATAGCTGATCACCTTCAACACACAAGATCAGATGTGGCATTTGCAATTCTCATTTACAATTTCTCTTAGAAATTGTTCTTATTTTCTTTTGTTAAGCAAGAAATGCTTGTTTTCTAATTAGAGTTTTCTAATTAGAGTTTTCTAATGAGACTGCTCACCAACATTTTTATGTGTAAAGCAAGCAGTTACTCATCCTGGTAATGCAGTGGAGGAGGGAAAGGTGATGGTAGTCAGCCACAGACTGTACATATGGCTATAGGTACTGTACTTAGGAGGTAGAAGGCTCCCTACATAATGTCCTTTGTCATCCCACTGGGGATATATTTACACCATTTGTCTTGTCCTGTTTTCTTCCCAAATCGCAATTCCTCAGTGTGCCATAACACATCCCTAACTTAGCATCTTCTGGTGGGAAGCCCACAAGAATGGAGGAAGACGGGTTGAAAGAACATGCTAGGTACAGTCCACATCTATTCTGCCTATCTGAAGTGAAGTGTGGAACAGTTTTATTCCATGCACCAAAGCCAATCCTCCAATACTGCCTCCAACAGCCCTAAATCTTCCCCATGAATCATACAACCCATGTACATCGGGCTCAGGTCTTCATGCTACTAAAATCACCCAAGTAGGGACACTGAGAGCCAGTTTCCCAGGACAGCTATTAAATATTCCCAAAGATGGAGACTCCACCACTTCCCTGGGCAACCTTGCCGGCACTTAGTCACCCTCAGAGTAAAAAACTGCTTCTTGGTGTTCAGAGAGAACCACCCACTGTTTAATGCTGTGCCCATTGCTTCTGGTCCTGTCCGTGAAAGAGGATGTTAATGCTTTTGCAGGGCACCAAGGCAATGGAAGTTAGTTTATATATTACATTCCAGTGTCTAACTAAATGGGTAGCACAGAACAGCCCCTGCAAAATCTCTGGCTCATGTCAGGAAAAATATGAGTATGAACTGCAGGAATTGCAGAGATGTCCCCAGTACCATCAGCAACTCATCATTAAAGTGCTTGGCACTAGGTAGGTCTTTAATCTCAAATGTGTGAAATATTTTCTCCAGTTAACTTGACAAGTATTTTTCTACCAGAACTTAGCCTGCAAGCCCACAAATCTCAGAAGCATAAGCCTTTAAAATCCGGCAGTAGATAAGGCCTGCTGCTTCTATTTAAAACTTGCTGAGCTATTGTTTAAATTGTTGCTACATCTATTTAGTTTCTTTCCTCAATATTATCAGCTGTTATTACTATACCACTACTACCAGATGACACCTCTGAACCCCATTAGGCTCCTACATACTGGAACCATAGCTGGAACCTATCCACGGCCATGGAGAAACACATCTCCACACCACCTCTATATTCCTCTGCACCCCATCATTGTCCTACAAATAGTTAGAATGAACCATTAAATGAGTGTGTATACATGTATGGAACATGCAGATATATAAAAATATACATAAATAAAGTGCACTTAAAAATAAATCTGAGAGCTGCACAGAGGAACTTGAGCAGTTGGACGCCACCAGTGCTGAGTATTTTAGGGGTTCCTAGGAGTTGGCTGCATAGGCTAACAGACCAGTCACCTCTCTGATACTGGCTCAGTACAAAACAAGAAGCAAAAAAATTGATATAACTGATTTTTATAGTAATTTCCATATGTCTTTAAAAAAAACCCTGGATTGAAATTTATTGTAGTCATTCTTTATAGCTCACTGCTGCTGAAGGAAACAGTTCTCACATTCCTAGACTGCTCCTACTAATGTTCTGGGCCCTTTCTTGTGTCAGAAAAAACATTTATGCAGCTGCAGGGAGTCTGATCAATAACAAATTCACTCTGCTCCTCCTGCCAACTTTAACTCCATTCCCTGAACAAGTGCATAAATACAGTGCCAGGTCAGGCATGTAGTGATGGGGAAGTATAGCAACGAGGAAGAGTAAGACTATCTTCTTTCTGCAATTCTCACATTGCGACTGATGCAGAACAAAAAATCCATTTCTCATTAGATCACCCTAATATGTAGACCAGCAGTTAAAAAAAACCCAAAAAGTATTACATCACAAAGAATACTTATATTAATGAATGCAGAGGTGTCTAATGCATGGAAAATTCAAATTATACAAAGCAAATATTACAGCTCAACTCTTATTTCTGATATCTAAAAGTTAGAGGGTGCATATGACACATAACACATAGAACAGCAATCCTGTTTACTGCCTCCATGATGACAACACCAACTCAACACACCTTATTAGTCAAGAGAGACAGTAATGCCATGAAGGATAAACTTCCTAATGGAAATTCGACATGGACTTCATATAGTTAAGGGACTACTGGACTAATAAAGAGCTAATGGAGTTCATGTAGTTTAATGTCTTAAAATGGGTGCTAAAGCTTTGTTTCAGAGCCTCTCCTATTTCATGAAAGGATGAAGAACAAGAGGAAAACTGCTGGTGTATATAAATATGCAAACATAGAAAGTTGAATGCATGAGATTTATGTCCACTGGAACACAATTTACTGCATTCACATGATTCCTAAAAGGGGCAAAAATGCAATGCCACAAAGGTAGACCAGGTAACTCAGATGATATCTTAATTTTCATCTGAAGTTTTCACTGTGAGTTCAGCTACATTTTATCCACATACCTGACACTGTTACTTGAGAACATCACAAATGATGCTCTTGTTGCTGTCAAAATCAAGAACTAGATTTGGGAATATGAATGATCTGTTAAGACATATGCTATAATAAAATATATGGCAGTAGTTTGGAAAAGAAGAGATATTTGAGCATGAACAGCTTGTGGAGGGGATTGAAGGTGCTTGCCAGCTTAGGGTTCAGCAATCTACATGCTGCCAACAAGAACGTGTATTTAGCTTACACAGTCAACCAAACATAACCAAAATTGCCAGAAAATGATATAGTAGATTTGGCTTTCTATTCTGAAGTTTGTTTTATCCAGAAATTATATTATTTAACTTGCAAATAAAAATTTGAGCTGCTGTACAGTGGTCTGTTGTAAAAATGGGTTTATAAAACTCCTTAACTTAGTCTGGATTTATTTAAACAATGAGGATAGAGTTTTACAAATTAACTTTTATCCAAGTAGAAATATCCAATCTGGAAGTTTCAAACCCTATATGCCTTGCTCCCTATGTGCTTCTCCCTTTTTTTGTGAGCCTATTTGCACAAGGGAACAAGAGAAATTAGGTATTTCTGTGTTTATTATGATTAGTCATGCTTCTTGGCATATGTTATTGTATTTTACATTTAATAAACAAGCATTTATGATGCAAATATCCTAGGAATTGAATATTTTTGTATAAAACCCCTGAGCAATAGAACATAATTAACTATTTTGTTTTATATTTTAAAATCTTAAATCTTTCTCTCATTAGCACACAAAACAGGACCTTATCAGGAATGATTTTTTCAATCTTCTCCCTTTGGATGTGGTACATCTTTATTTGTTCATCTGTAATTTTCAAGAAAAAAATTCTACACAGCAGAAAGCAATAGATTAAAAAAATATCTTACTAAAACTATGGTAGCTATTTTTCAGCGTAATTTTCTTAAAGCAACATTTTGAGTGATGCCGGTCACACACACAGATTTATTAAAAAGCAATGTCATACCTGTAGACATGCAGGAGCTCTGCCTTGGGGTTTATTCACATCAACAGCCACAAGCTGCCAACCTCCAGCAGCATCTTCATGAAACATCTTGAAAGGGAAGACTGTTGTCAGAAATGTTTTATGTGGCAATAAATACAAGTGAGATCTAATACATTCCCCTTAAGGACCAGCATGCATTTTCATGATATTTAGTTTAAAATAACAGAGGAATGATTCTTGCTGCTACAGGAAAAAAAGCAACATGCTTTTTCCAACAACTGTCTGAAATTTACTCAGATAACATCAAACACAATGTATCTCTATTAGTCCTAATATAGAAAACAATTCAGTTCTGACCAGCATTATTAGATGGTGGTACCTGTTCAGAATAATTTTCTTACTAAGGTAAGCCTATCCTAAGAAAAAAAATACATTGTGACAAACATAAATAAGCTTCATGGTGCATTTGGCACTAGCAGACAACATCATCTTTTTTATGGCAAGGACAACTTCGTTTTTGTTGCACTGATGCATATCAAGAGTAGCTGGACAGTCCTTTTGTATTGTTTCACAGAGATTAAAATTCCTGAAGCAGCTGAATGTTTCCAATCCCTAATGGTGGCAATGGAAAAGGCTCTCTTGACCACAGTGGTATTCACATTTTATCAATAGCCTCTGGAAGAGTAAACATAGGCATTCTGCTTTGTTGGGTTTTTTCCTCAGAAACTAGGACACAAAATGATGCAGACTGCTGGACATAAGGAGCAGTGAGATACCACATCTGAAAGTGATTAACATTGTCCTTGAAAATGTCCTTGAAAGAAAATGAATGGTTCTAGCATTTCTACTTGCCACCTGCATCTACCATGTAATGAAGTGTGGCAAAGTTCCCACCTCACTCCCACCTTTTCCTTGACACCCAGCACTCAAACGAGTCACCTCAAGAACACAGCCACAGGAGGGTGGTTGAAGTTAAAAAGTCATCCTGAGAGAAGTGCTCATTAGTCTGGGGACACTGTCACCCAAATGTGGTTGCAATTCTTTCAAGACTTTATTTAGCATCTCTGCACTGGGAAGAGTTGCCAACTAAGATCAGCACAGTTACTCCTCTTTTTACCATGCTTTAAAGTGCTAAAGTGCTTTAGAAGAACCTCCTTTTATCCTTTTCTAGAGACTCCTTCCTAGACTTCAACTCCTGGACACTTGTTTTCTTTTCTATAGGACTAAGTTTGGGGAACGTATGAAGCAGGAAAATTAAGGCATAGCTCTCAAGACTACTTCATGCACAAAACAAGCATTTTAACTTTAACTTTAAAACCCTTAACAGGGGTTTTAACTTTTGTCTGGCGCTTTGAACAAGAAATCATGAAAGTAGTTTCTGTCCTTCTTAATACAGAAAAAGATAAATAATTTTTGCAGTTTGGTAACCTGGACTCTCTTGATATCCCATTTTGTCACTGACTCAAGGAACGAAGCAGTCATTCAAACAATTTGCTTGTCTGCATCCAGCAAGTTATTTTTTGAACAATTTGCTTGTCTGCATCCAGCAAGTTATTTTTCATTTGCGTGATACAGATTATATTAAACATATTCATGTTCTTTGGCATCGTGACATTATTTTGGATATTTAAAACTTTTTTAATGTTGGCTGCTTTTTGTGTTTCCCTACATTGAACTCTCTGTTCCATCCACTAGTTCAGAGTATGTTGGATAAGCCTATATGGTTCAGGATTTTTCCTATGAACATTAAGTTCCCCAGGCTAAGCATATGTCATGTAGAAAAGTCCTTTTTTTTAGACTTTAAATTGGTATCACAAAGTCTGCTTTGACAAAGACATATATAGACTAGAAATTATTGCCAGAAAGTCTATCTGAGGCAAAAAATGTAGCAGCCAGCAGAAAAGGACTAGATTTACATATGGACTACAGGAATATCAAAAAGAATATAAAACATATTCAATAGTTATTTTTGAAAACTTAAATCCTTTGGCTTAAGAAAATAAATAATCTCCAGCTCCATGGTTAGAAAAAATTCCCTCGTGGGTATGTTTTTCATATCTGTCTTTCTAAGAGCTTTCTGCAGGCAGTTGGTGCTGGTTCTTCTCAGAGACGGCAAACTGCACTACCCTGGAAAAGCCTGGTGTTTTACCCATTTGGGAAAATGGGCAAAATAATGAGTGAGGGAATTTAAATCTCAACCCAGTAGCTCTTCTTTTTCACACTGGGTTCTTTCCCACCACTCAGCCCACCCTTCCTATCACGGCTTCTTCTTACTTGTTATTTCTATTCAGGGGTCTCACTTTCTGCGACTGCCCCAGCTGTAAGCATGGCTCTTTCCTTGCCCTACAACCTATTCTTCCTTGGTCTCAACAAACCCTTCTCAGTTCCAGGACCCTAAACACTTCAGCTACCCTCTGACCCCTCTTCCAGCTACAACTTCGGGATTTCAGCTCTTATTTCTTAGCACAGAAAGTGATACCCAATAGCAACTCTGACTTCAAACCATACAGTGGTTCAATTACATGATAAAAAAGCATTATCATAATTTATTAAAAAGAATACAAACACAGCAATAGCATACCTAGCCATATAGGAAACTGTCTTATGGTCTTCTCTATTATTCCTTTCTAAGAAAGACTAGCTACATAATGCAACCAAGAATTTAATTTTTTATGAGAATGCATATATCATGTTTAGAATACAGTTAACACCATGCAAAGTTAAATATATCATATATGACAAGAAATTTTTGCTTACTATTAATTCATAAACTAAACCAAATAAAATCCCCAAAGAATCTTAGAATCTCAAGTGCTTCACCTGGGTGGTGGCAGTTGAAGTAGTACTGCTCCTGGACCCCCACATCTGCTGGAACTGCACTCTAATTTCTGCAAACGTTTCAATGATGACTGCAATAAAAACATTCTGGAGAATGAAAAAGAAAGAATGGCTGACACAAAGCTCAGCAAGCAGAAAAGAGAAAAAATTAATTCTAATATGATTTATGTTTCAGACCAATTTTAAAAGACATATTTTTCAGTACCTTAACAAGCCAGGCCAGAAAGAAAATTAAGGTGATGAAATAGAAATATGAACGCCATCGGGGAAAACTGTCAATTGCTCGGTACATAAGGAACACCCAGCCTTCCTGGGAAGCAGCTTCGTAAACAGTAAATATACTTGTGCCTGTCAGAGGAAAAAATAAAAATGTTTGGCATTAAACCTCCCTGAAAGTATTCAGTATCAGCAAACAAACTTTTATCTATCCTATTTTTGTTTTTTCTAAAGGGTGTCAGCTCTCCTCTTCTCATTCAAAGTTTTTCAGGTGCATTTCTATATTTCTTCCTTTTGCAATTGAATATTAATTGGTTTTGTATCAGATCAGACTGACTCCATTCCCTCCCTGGACAGACATGTATAATCCTTTAAAAGAGTTCACTGGCAATATACAAATGTCTCCAAAGGCAGAATTTGCATTCAGAAGCATCCCTGAGAAAAGGCAGATCTAACAAGGATCAACATTCAGTAGGTTAAAGAAATCACTTTTAATATCAGCAACACTGAGCAAGCAGCAATACATCAAGAAGGTGCCCAAAACTAGTAAGCATCTACAGCAAACTACTGAACTGTTTTGAAATTCAGGTAGCAGCTGTGTTAACATACATATGTTGCCTTAAGAAAGCATTTTAAAGTTGAACTTGCTATCACTCTGAGGGGGGTAGAGAGAAGATGAAAGGAAAATTATGAGAGGCCTTTTTGTGCAGAAACCACTTTTGAATAACAGCTATAAAGCTACTAATTTTAAACATAAAGTTGAAACTCAGCCTACTGTCTAAGTGATAATATGCTTTAGCCAGCTTGGCCTTCTTCCTTATCTCTGCAATGAAAGCTTCAAAATATAGACCAGTTATGGCTTGTAAGTCATTCTTGTTTAAAGCAATTTTTTGTTCCAAGAAGAAACACAATTAAACTGTGAAATTAAACTGTGAAATCTCACAAACTGCTGTGAAATCACAGAATTGTCCTATAGCCACCCGCCAGCTCTGCTGCACGACTGCTTCGTTTCATGGAAAGTCTTCGATAAAAGAGAGGGAGTATGAAGAGCAAAACACAGCAGCTGCCAGCAACATAAAGATAGAAAGCTGACTATCTGATCCTTTTCACAAAGAAAGAAATGGTTCTGGGCAGAAATTCCAGAATCCAGGAGTTTCCCAAAAAAACACAGGAGCCTGTAAGAAGCTCAGTACTACTATTTTCCTGCTGAATTTGCAATATCTATATCCTTTTGTCTGCTAACAGGGATGGGATGAACCTGGAACCAGTTTTGTCTCAGGGTGTCCCTTCTGCAGATAAATCTTCACTGATGAGAGGAGAGAGGAAAAAAATTGATTTTTTTCTGTATAACACATACTTTTGATAGATAGGTGTCAAATGGTTAAGATGGGCATGGTGGGTAGTAAAAACTGTTAGGTTTTTTAGTTATTGGATTCCTTGCTTTTTACTGCATATGGTTCTCAGGACCAAGGGAAAGAAATTAAAATAAAAGGAAAGGAAAAGCATTCAAGCATAGAAAGCAAAACCCTTTATATTTCTTTAGAAGAAAAGTGGTCTCTATCAATGCTGAAATATTCATCAGAGATTACTTCATGGGTATTTTACATTTCAAAAATTCAAAAAGTAATGGTTCAATTGTCTAATAATATACTGTTGCTGAACTGATTAAATTATTGAACAAAACAGTGCTGTTGAGGTCAGGCAGAGATTAAGGGGAAAAAAGAGAATCTATTAAAAGTTACTGGCTAGGAAACTGTCATTAGTCATTACCAATGGGAAAGTCACAGTGAAGATTAATAAAATAGAGGGGCTGTCATGCAAAGTATTTATAACACATCACTGGGCCATCTGCCACAGTAAAGCAATACTGTGAATGGTCAAAATACACAATTAACCCAATTAAAATGAGTTTGCTTGTGACAATAAAGTAAAAGTATATCTATAGTGTATAACTGGTAGAGGTACTCTTAAGACTGTTAGAAAGCAATCCCTTTTAAGAATATACATTCTTGCTTGACATATGTGAATAGAAAGTAATAAAACTTTCATTACTGATGCCAGGGAGCATGCTGTTCACTGTCTCTTGGAAATCCTCTTTCATACAGAATAAGGGATGTAACACCATAAAATATTTTGCCTTCAAAAAGAAGAGTTATTCTTAGTGAACATCTAGCTTACTGTGTGTTTTTGCTCTTCAGTTTTTTTCTGATTATTTCTTTGATTTTGGACTACATCTTACTAAGCCAATGAGTAAGTTATTAAAAGACTGTCCTCTCACAGCAACATACTCTGTTTTTCTCACCATGTTCAAAGCCATATGGAGGGTGAGAAAGTATCAACATTTTAAGTGATGGTAGGATACATCCCAAAAAACCAGACATGGGAATGCTGCCATAAATGAAACCTAACATATGCCCCTCAGATCAAATGGCAAATTTGTTGTTTTCCACAGATGTCTGTATTCTATCAGTGACAAAGTGTCTTTTCCTACTAGTTCAAAGGGCTTAAGTAATGACAGCATAGTGCCAAGAGTCTCATGGTTAGGGCATATGAGAATAAACATCCCTCTGCAGCAGGAATATGGGTGCCACAGGGAATGAGGACTTGAAACCTGCAGGGCCTGGCTACTCAATACACAACAGGCTCCACTACTTCAGAATGCAGTCACCTCTTGTCAAAGTCCTGAACATTAGGGTCATCATTTATGCAATGTAACTGCAGGCATCAGCAAGACTTTTCAGCCATGAAAAAGCTTTGAATAATGAAGAGAGTTAAACACATGGTTGTTATGACACTGCGCATCAGCTTAAGCATGTTGGCATGGGCAAATTGCTGAATTTGAGATACAGATATATCTAGCAAATGTTTATGATAATTTTCCTATTTATTTCAGTAAATGGTTAAACACTGAAGGCATTCAATATTAATGTGGGAGGAACTTTCTGATGACAAAAGCAGTAAAATAAAGCAACATGCTTTGAAGTTTTTGTGTTTTGCTTGAACTTGTCTAATAAATTCAATTTTGATGTAATGATAAGACAATTCCTTTAAACACAATGATAGTTCAAGAAAAAAAAAGAAAACATTTTTCAGTAGAGATTAAAACTAAATAAATCAACATCATAAGCTATATCAATCTCAAATGACTACTTTTATCTAAGCAAGAATCACCTCTACCGTTGGAAATGTAAATGGTTAATATCAAAAAGAAAATAAAAAAGTTTAGAAAATGAAATATTTTGTGAAATACTGGGAAAGAGATTGAATCTTGCTCAATTTATGTGACATTTTCACTAGCTCCATACTGTATAGAAGACAAGACAGCAATCAGAGACAGACTGTATCCTTACTGATAAGGTACGTTTAGTATATGGGGATTCAGGACCAGAGTGCAGGGGGCTTATTTCTTCTTCAATATATATATGCCTTTCATATCTAGAAGATGGGAACATTAGTCTGAAGGGGTGTGGAGAAAATAATTGCTTTAACACCTAAATAATTGTAATAAAAGAGTTCTAACGGTATCCATGCCTAATCAGGAAGCAAAGTAACCTGGCTCTTCCATGCTCTGCTGATGAATAGATTACCAGGGAAACAAAAAGAATTAGAAGAGACAGGGAAAAAAGTGATGATTTTTCTTAGGGGAGTTAAATCGCCTATCCTGCCAAAACCCTATCTTTTAAATGACTAAGGAATATAGAAAGTGTGTATTTTTTAAAAACAAAGGGACTCAAAGTTAACAGAAAAATAGTATTACTATGCAGGGATGGTCTGTATTTTATATTTATTATGTACTGTATTTTAATTTAATGTACTGTATTTTATATTTATGCACATTTTGTAAATACACAGGATTTTCTGCTTGTTTCTGTGACTCTGACACCACCATGCTTTCTAACACCATCTCTTTCTATAACCAGTTCATTCTGCAAATTAACATCATGAGAAAGGGAGTGCACTGAATAACGCTGTAGTTTTATAACAGCAGAATTAAAGGAACAGAGATAAAAGATCACAAGAAAAATTCACTGAGTTTGGAAACGAAACCCTTTCCTCCTAACTCAATGAAGCATTCTTGGTTCTTGATTCAAAATCCCATATTATCTGAGGAAGAGAATGTATGGTGCTGAGGAGTTGTCTTTCATTAATTAATATCTTTGTGCTATGTGTAGCTATTTCAAGTGAGATGCAAAAACTGAAAACTAAGTTTAGCTATGCATTAACACCAGCAATTTCTGCATGTGTAATTTATGTTTATGGCTTACCATGTTAGGATTTTCTCAGATTTCTTGTGACTGCTGTGAAGCTGCTGAGAAAGAAAATCTACAGGAGGGTCACTTTATGTAAAAAACAAAACAAAACAAAACAAAGAAAAACTCAAAAAAACAACAACAACAACAACAAAAAACCCCAAAAGTGTTAGTTTTAATTTCTTGTTTTTCTTTAATCAGGAATTATTCAGGCAAGTAAAAATCCATGCGTTGTTATTAAAAGCTTAAGCCAGTACCCACGGCCACGCATGAAACGCACCAGATGCCAGGCAGGGCTGCGCTCCTTTCCCTTACTTTAGAGCAGCCGCTAGATGGGAGTCGTGCACCTCGGGCACATCTGGAACATCAGCCGGCGGAGCGCCCACCCCGGAGAGCACAGACTGTGTCAACCTCTCGCTGCGCCGGCAAAAGAATTGATTCTCCTATTTGCCGGCAAAACGAAGCCGCCTTCTGGCAGGTGCTGCTATCTAATTTCACTCTGTTGTGCTGCACGCTGAAAGGCAGCCTTCCGTAACACGGCTCTGGGAGTGACTGCCCATAAAGCAATGACCTCTGCCTCAGCTATGGAAATGTTACCATGCCTGTTTCTGCCCCGCTTACCTTCACTCATAAAATCACAAAGCTGCGTGTTTCTTCAGGGCATGGGTATTTCAATTGACCAGTCGGCTTTTAATTTATCTTTCATTATTAAGGTATTTGTAAAACAGTGCATGCGGTCAGGGTTTTCCAAGTGTTTTACACTATTGCTTCAGTGAAACTAGAAAGGACTAAAAATTGTCCAGAAATGCAAGGACAAAATTGTTACCACCTCTGGGAAGCAGCTGGCAGGCAGGACTGAAATCAACTAAAAAATCAATTAAT